GCTGATTTCATTTATTTTAGGGTAATTATGCACTTTTACTGTATTGTTTGCAGTGGTTTAAATTGTGTATATTTGCACGTGTGGCACTTTTTATGAGACCTAAGATAATACACTATGTCTAGGTTTATATTTTTTTGAGGTATATGAAGAGTATCTGGGATTCATCATCGATTATCATTAGGATCCGAATCAGTGTGTATCTCTCTATCAAGATTGTGGACTTAATCTGTATATTTTTCTTTTTTGGACTTTGGGTTGAATTATTATTGATTTATTTATTTTAAGTCTGTTTTATATGTTTTATGTTTGTACTTCAGGGGAAGGATTGTGAAACGACTTAATTGGGTTTTGTATTATGGTGGGTGTGTGCTGTCTCATAGTTATTCTGTTGTATACGCAATTGCTGTACAAGCCATTATGTTATGCAATTTGTTCACGTTGTGTTCATGCACTTACCAGACTAACAGGTAGGTACTGTAGCTGCCACCTCCAACTTTCCTCCAGAACTATGTAAATAACAGCTTTCTAGGTGATTTGGTATTTGGCCTTACTGTTGGCTTATCATACTGATGGGCAGACTCCGCAACCAATTGTGAAATTTGGAGGCTGGTACCAAGCTCTGGATTCATTTAGAGCAGCTATTCTCAACTAGAGTTCCTCCAGAGGTAGTTAGGGGTTCCTTGAGCTGTGACTGATTGACCTGCCCATCTGATGGTGCCTGGATAGTTCTGGGTGTACTTTGAAGAGCCAGCAGCATGATACCAATTAGCTTTTTAGCTGTCTGTATGGGTGGCATTCCCACTGATGACCAATGTAAGGGGCATTCTTTCCATTGACCACCAATGTAAGGGGCTTCTTTCCATTGACCACCAATGTAAGGGGCATTCTTTCCATTGACCACCAATGTAAGGGGCATTCTTTCCATTGACCGCCAATGTAAGGGGCATTCTTTCCATTGACCACCAATGTAAGGGGCATTCTTTCCACTGACCACCAATGTAAGGGGCATTCTTCCCACTGACCACCAAAGTAAGGGGCTGTCTTCCCACTGATCACCAATGTAGGAGACATTCTTCCCACTGAACACTAATGTAGGGGATATTCTATCCACTGACCACCATTGTAAGGGACATTCCTCCCCTCCCACTGACTATCAATGTAGGAGACATTCTTCCCACTGAACACCAATGTAAGGGGCTGTCTTCCCATTGACCAGCAATGTTGGAACATTCTTCCCATTGACCAGCAATGTTGGAACATTCTTCCCACTGACCACCAATGTAGGGGACATTCTATCCACTGACCACCAATGTAAGGGACATTCTTCCCACTGACTACCAATGTAAGGGGCATACTTCCCACTGAACACCAATGTAAGGGGCATTTTTCCCACTGACGACCAATGTAAGCGACATTCTTCCAACTGAACACCATTGTAAGCGACATTCTTCCCACTGATCACCAATGTAGGGAACATTCTTCCCACTGAACACCAATGGGGGAACTCTTCCCACTGACCACCAATATAGGGGGAACTCTTCCCACTTACCACCAATATAGGGGGAACTCTTCCCACTGACCACCAATATAGGGGGAACTCTTCCCACTGACCACCAGTATAGGGGGAACTCTTCCCACTGACCACCAGTGTAAAGGGCTGTATCAAGCTATGATTTGTTCAAGCTGCATAATAAAATATCTGCCTTGTGATCGTGTTTATAGACATTACCTACCAGAATTTCCATACCCCTGTTCCTGTAATTGGCTTGCTGTCCTGGGATCAATTATCTGATTGTAATAGATACTTTACCACTAGGGCTCAGTTCACACTAGCTGACTCCAAAGTCGTACAATTTTCAGTGCGACTTTGGAGTATGGCTTTGATGCAACTTTGATCTAAATTTACACTCTAAGTCACACCAAAAGTCGCACTAAAGTAGGGCAGGCACATTTTCAAAGTTGCTGCAACTTTAAGTCGCACCAATTTGAACAGGTGCCATTGAAAAGATAGGCTGCGACTTGTCATGTGACTGTGATGTCAAATTGTGGTGGTTTATGTAAGGATATATTTTACTTATAAAGGGCGTGTCCCTTTCCCTTAGATGAGATATTACAGTGCCTCCAGCCGTTAAAATACGGCAAATATTTAGTAAACCAATAAATTGGACACCTTGATAATTTGATCACCACTTATTATTATACCTTGAATTCTTTTAGCCAATATGATTTCGTACCATACACACAAAATTTGCCTTATAATAGATAAATATAAAAATTTATTTATGTACAAAAATTATATATATTATTAACACAAAACGCAAAAGACTGGTGATAAATGAATATTAATACACACAATCAAAGACATACCCTACCAATGTAATACACAATACTAATGTTTCCAAATAATTAAATCAATATCACAATTTTCTAAATGATCTGATTAAAAATTAAATTTATTAATAACTAATAATTTCGAGTATCTCAAAGGCTATATTCTCACAAGCCGTGGCCATAGGATTGAAAGAAGATATTCCTTGATAAATTATACTCTGATTATTAATAGTTAATAAATTATGAAATATGAAAAAAAAAATTATAATATGGCACCAAACAATTTTTAACAGTAAAACAGGATCTCTTTACATATATATAACTACCCAATATTGTTGTGATACACTAAGGTAATTCTATGATTCTACACAAAAGAAAAAAAATAGGCAATGCAAAATTAAATTAACAGTCTCACCACACCCGGAATTCAGACTAGGAAACTCTCCCGTGGATTTCGCTGGCAATGGAACGCCTTCAGAATGATGACCACAGGGGAAAGTGAGATAGAGTTCAATAGTGTGGGAGAATGTAGGAAGTTAGAAGGACAGAGGTTTAGCAATTTAGTAAAGTTTGGAAATTTGAAAGGATGGGAGAGGGGTTATAGAGAGGTCTCTTCAGATGTCTTCAGATTCTTCTCATCAGGTCTTTCTTCAGTCAGGTTTTCTTTCTTTTTAATGAGTTTTTCCCTTTTTTTTAAAGGTACAAGGGCTTTTATACCAACTAATCCATTGTTCTAAGATACCTTCCCACCAGGCTTCTTGATTGGCTAGTTGAGAAATGTGTGTACATAAGCTATTTCTCACCTGCCCGCCAGATGGCAGTCTTGTATCATAGAACAATTTGAGTATTTGAGATGACTCATACCTCGGGTGGAATTTTAAGGTAATTACAGGGATTAAATATACGTCTTTTTTCCAGATATATAAGTGATCATACCTATAATATTCTAAATAGGGACCATGGAATATAGGTGTATATTCAGTTATTCGTTCTTGAAATACCATCCTGTCTGTTTCCTGATAAGACATATAACTAATGCTAGTTTATAATACATCTTACTTTTCATCATCTCAATACTCAAGTTAGTGATATATAATTCCCATTGCTGAACATTTGGTGGTGTGTAAAACCTATCCTTTATAACATCTCATTTATAATATATTTTTGGTATACCTCTGTGGATGGATATATTCAATTCTTAGCCTTTTGATTTTAGAACCACATTTTCTATGGGTAGGGAAAAACTCTCTGTTTGCCTGGCTCTTGTATTGGAGTCACAGTAAACAACTATTAATACTTTCACCCTTGGTGGACAATAGTATATTGTGATAGTTTCAGAGGTCTGTTGGTTCATCACACTCTGCAAGGTTTGGGTAAACTTCCAACCAGTTGAGTTCCCGTCTCATTATTGTTAAAATGTTTGAAAGTCGAAGTCCTATCTGGCAGTCTGTTTGACTTTTTGTGTATGCATTCTTCTCAACCTCAATATACAAATAGTACTTGTTGACAGTCCAAACAGTCTTATTGTCTTGGAAAAGTCTCACTTCCCCATTCTATCCATTTCTTAACTAGAGTCCTTCGAGGGTTCAACCAAGACAAAATTAACTCTTAGCATCCGGCTATACTGAGCTGCTTGTCATATAATGTTATGTCTTGATAAAGTCATGTTTTTGAGAGACATAATTCAAAAGGTCCACAACAAAATGACGCATGACAAGTTGCACAAGTGTGAATAGAGCCTTGGAGTAGTCTCATTGTCTATAAAACACATGCAGATCATAATTTGCAACTTTATTTATTAAAATCACTGCAATATACTGTATATAACTGACTTGGAGGGTTTTTTTTTTTTTTATTTTTGAAAGAAATCCTGAAGCATTGGCTTAAAGTGTTACTAAACCCACAACAGTAAAATCAACCTGTATATGCAGTAAAGCAGGGGTGTCAAACCGCCGGCCCTCCAGCTGTTGCGAAACTATAAGTCCCATCATGCCTCTGCCTTTGGGAGTCATGCTTGAATCTGTAAGCCTTGCAATGCCTCATGGGACTTGTAGTTTGGCAACAGCTGGAGGGCCGCCAACTTGACACCCCTGCAGTAAAGCATGCTTGTTATTTTCACTGTGTAACCTAAGGGGTTAATCCTCTGCATTGTGTAAAAAGGCCGTTTGATTCTGTTTTCTCTGCCCCTCCTCTTGTTCAGATGCCCACCTAATAAGACAGACTGAATCCGTAGCCACTTGCACATGCTCAGTTTACTGTGTATTGCTAGAGAGGAATTTTTTTTTTCTTGGGAGAGTTCATGTGATCAGCACAGGGCCAATCAGAATTGTCCAGACAGAGTTCAGGGGTTCTGCATCCTCCTGGAGCAGAAAGAAAACTCCTCCTACAAGCTTTAACCAAAGCTCCGCTGAAGTCAAAAGACTGTTCTAACTGCTGATGAAGAAAGGTATTGAGCAGTTTATATTTACTACAATAATTGCAATTCCATGTTCTGTGTACTGTGGGAGACCAGATATAGTGAATGCAGGGTTCGGGGAGACCGGATATAGTGAATGCAGGGTCCGGGGAGACCAGATAGAGGGAATGCAGGGTCCGGGGAGACCAGATATAGTGAATGCAGGGTCCGGGGAGACCAGATATAGTGAATGCAGGGTCCGGGGAGAGCAGATATAGTGAATGCAGGGTCTGGGGAGAGCAGATATAGTGAATGCAGGGTCCGGGGAGACCAGATATAGTGAATGCAGGGTCCGGGGAGACCGGATATAGTGAATGCGGAGTCCGGGGAGACCGGATATAGTGAATGCAGGGTCCGGGGAGACAAGATATAGTGAATGCAGGGTCCGGGGAGACCAGATGTAGTGAATGCAGGGTCCGGGGAGACCAGATATAGTGAATGCAGGGTCCGGGGAGACCAGATATAGTGAATGCAGGGTCCGGGGAGACCGGATATAGTGAATGCAGGGTCCGGGGAGACCAGATATAGTGAATGCAGGGTCCGGAGAGACCAGATATAGTGAATGCAGGGTCCGGGGGGAGATCAGATATAGTGAATGCAGGGTCCGGGGTTTAGTAACACACAGGAAAATATAGCCTGTCGGTACTGACATCTGTTCTGAAAATGCTAGTTGTCTGGCTATTTATGACAATGCACAGGCTGCAGTGCTGAGCTGGTGCAGGTATAGAAACAGAGTTCTGACTTTAATATTTTACAGACCATACAGCAAACATTCCAAGTCATGCTATAATAATGCTAGTAATGTATGCAGTAGTAATATATAAGAACAGAAACTTATATGTCAGATAGTGACCAACAAATATTTGTGGAGCCCTCAGAATGTGGTGCAGCTGTGCATGGGAGCCAATCAGCTTCTAACTTCAGCTTGTTCGATTAAGCTTTGACAGAAAAAACCCGGAAGCTGATTGGTTTCTATGCAGAGCTGCCCCAGATTTTGCACTTTCCAGATTTAGTAACTAACCCCCGCGTTGGAATGTCATGAAGCCACACCCACTTCACCAAAAACACTGAGTATGGCAGCGATCCCTTCATTATCAATTGTACTTCTAACAGAGAGAGTTTGGACCCCAGGAACATTATATCTTTAAACAGGGCTCAACAAATTGCATGCTGATGCCTGGGTCCGTGCACTGCCTCCTATTAACTTCAATGCAAAAAATGCGTCCCATTGATGGCAAAAAAAAACCTGACGGGTTATAACTCTCCCTTACTTTATCCATTAAAAACGTATTGCCTTTAGTTACACTTTAAGACTGCAGTAAAGATTACCAGGTAATCCCTTTAACCTCTTGGCGCCAGCGCCTCCTATCCTTTTAAGGGGGTTGTGACGCCGGGAGGTGGGAAGGGGTTTAGGGTCATGTGACCACCATGATTGGCTGTCACGGCGGCCACATGATTGGAAAGCTCCCGACCACAAGTAGCGATCAGGACCTTTCCATGGGGCGCCAGTAAATGTGGCGGGAACACACAGGGCATGCACTCTTGGCACATCTTTTGTTTACATTGAGTACGCAGATATGCAGCCCCTTTTTACCAAGGCCCAGCCGCCGAGAGAGCGCACAGTTGCTTGCACTCAGCGCCAAGGAGTGGAAAGCCACGCTAATTTTTATAGTGACTGTTCTTTCTGACCTCATATGGAGGTGTACCTGTGATATAAGCTCTTTTCAGTAATCTGCGTAATCTCTTTATACAGTGGAGCTGTCGTGGGTGTGTACATATACATAGTTGTGTTCAAAATAATAGCAGTCAGACATCACTAACCGGATCAATCACTGTTTTTGGTAGAAATGATATTTCTACATGGCAAATAATTTACTATCAGGTTGTAGTAGAGTAATAGAAATCCAACAGACCCAACAGTCATGACATGCATGCTGCTGATTCTGTGTCATTGAATCACTAATTGAAAGGGGCATGTTCAAAATAATAGCAGTGTGGAGTTCTATTAGTGAAGTCATTCATTCTTTGAAAAACAGGTGGCAATTATTGCCCTTATTTAAGGAAGGAAGGCAGCAAATGTTGGACATGCTGGTTACAGTGCATTTCTCTCTGAAATTCTGAGGAAAATGGGTCATTCCAGACATTGTTCAGAAGAACAGCGTACCTTGATTAAAAAGTTGATAGGAGAGGGGAAAACATATAAAGCAGTGCAGAAAATGATAGGCTGCTCAGCTAAAATGATCGCAAATGCTTTAAAATGGCAACCAAAACCTGAAAGACGTGGAAGAAAGCGAAAAACTACCATTCGAATGGATAGAAGAATAGCCAAAATGACAAGGACTCAGCCAACAATCAGCTCCAGGAAGATGAAAGAAGGTGTAAAGTTCCCTGTGAGTACTGTTACAATTAGAAGACGCCTATGTGACGCCAAGCTATCTGCAAGAAGCCCCCGCAAAGTCCCACTGTTGAAAAAAAGACGTGCTGAAGAGGTTACAATCTGCCAAAGAGCACATTGACTGGCCTAAAGAGAAATGGCGCAACATTTTGTGGACTGATGAAAGTAAGATTGTTCTTTTTGGGTCTAGTGGCCGGAGACAGTTTGTCAGACGACCCCCAAACACTGAATTCCAGCCACAGTACACTGTGAAGACAGTGAAGCATGGTGGTGCAAGCATCATGATATGGGGATGTTTCTCATACTACGGTGTTGGGGCCTATTTATCGCATACCAGGGACCATGGATCAGTTTGAATACATCAGAATACTTGAAGAGGTCATGCTGCCTTATGCTGAAGAGGAAATGCCCTTGAAATGGGTGTTCCAACAAGACAACGACCCCAAACACACCAGTAAACGTGCAACATCTTGGTTCCAGACCAACAAGATTGACGTTATAGAGTGGCCAGCCCAATCCCCGGATCTTAATCCAATAGAAAACTTGTGGGGTGACATCAAAAATGCAGTTTCTGAGGCAAAACCAAGAAATAGAGAAGAACTGTGGAATGTCGTCCAATCATCCTGGGCTGGAATACCTGATCACAGGGGCCAGAAGTTGGGTGACTCCATGCAACACAGATGTACAGCAGTTCTCAGAAACAGTGCGACTACAACCAAATATTCATTAAGTCATTCAAAGGAAAGCAAAATCTTCAAACATTTTTCAGTTTATATAGTGAATGTTTGAGTTTGTAAAGAAGAATACAAACACTGCGATTTTTTTTTGAACCGTCTAATATTCACTTTTCTTCCATTTTTTTAGAGGAACAACACAAATTTGATATATTTTTCTTCATGTTTTGATTTGGAATAGAATGTGTCGTGTTCCCAATGCATTTGTGTGTATGGAAATAAAAGCTATTAGAAGGATTTTGAGCTTTATTCACTTTTTTTAACACACTGCTATTATTTTGAACACAACTTGTTTTGTGTCTTAACTATCCTAGGGGCCATGTCAAGGTATTTGGGCCCTGTGGACTGGACTTTCACTTATGTAGCATGATCTGCTTGTGTCTATATCAGGAGATGTTTACAGGCGGACTTATCACAAGTCTAGGCAATTAAAAGGGAGAATAAGATGAAAAATGTATAAGCAGAGGTTGCCTTCCACAAGTCAGTGATCAGTAGATCCAAAGATATGGGCAGTGGAACGTATATGCAGATCTCCACTTTTCCTCTCAAAGCTGAGCCTGGCCACATTCCTGACTGTATTTTAGACTCTAGTCCCTTTTGGTCTGTGAGGTCATTCCTCTACATTTAAGGACCAATATAGAGCAGGAAGGTGCAGTCCAAGTTTACTTCTTACTGGAAAAGTTATCAGAAGCTGTTAACCCCTTCACTCCGGAGCCTCCCGGCCCTTTAAGAGTTTCAGAAGTTGGGAAGAAGGGCGGGGTTTAGGGTCATGTGACCGCCGTGACAGTGGTCACATGATCGGGAAAGGTCTCGATCAAAAGAGGAGATCGGGATCTTTCCGTGAGTACCGGACATGTGCGTGCGCTCTCCGCACATATGTCCTTTTTTAATAGAACGCAAATGTGCGGCCGCTTGGTGTCTAGGCCCAGACGCCGGGAGGCTGCACATTTGTGTTCGGCCGGCGTGAAGAGGTTTAAAGATGAACTCCAGAAATTCAGCCACTTTGTAAAATATTCTGGCATACTCTGGCAAGAAGGTGTTTGCCACCTCATAGACCTATCTCTTTTTTTTTTTTTTTTACATCTGATAATTTTACGGAGCTCCTGGAATATAGCTATCGCTATACGTGGCGCTCTGACAGAGGAAACGCTGTTTTCCCATACAGTAGCAGCCCTGCCCGCTCCTCTTCTCCCCTCCCCTCTGCTGTTCATTCACAAAAGCCCTTGTATTTTGTGAATGAGTTCGCATAATTCTAAGTGCTCTGAGATTGGTTTGGAGGTGTAGAAGGAGGAGCACAGCGGCTGCATGTTACCAGCAAGTCCAGGGTTGGAGCACCAGAACTATAGCAATAGCTATGCTCCCAGTGCTCAGCAAAAATGTTGGTTGTGCCAGTGAAGTAGCATGCACAACGCTGGACTTAACCCATAGTAATCCAGCACATTGTACAAGGTGATTGAATTTCTGTTCAGCATTAAAGTGAAAATCTATCCCACAGGCCTAAGATGACTGGACCTGCTGCCCAGATTTGACAGTTTATCAGTTGTGAATATGTATCTGGACTGAATCTGTTGTTCACTTTTTTATAGGAAGCTGGATCTACCATGGAGTATACCTCAGAGACTGGAACATCAAGCTTGCTGGGACAACCGGGCCTTGCAGAGGCTGGAGTACCACTGCCTTCCAAGAACTTGATCTTTCAAGACAGCATTCTTTCTGAGTGGAAAGGGCGAGCCCGGGTCTTCACTCACCACGTGCACACGCCAAACAATCAGGCCTGACAGCAAACAAGAACTCAGCCATCTTGCTAAACCTTTGCCCTGTTGGTGTTTGTATTTATTGCTGCTGTGTAGGTTATGTCTTTAGCAGCGTGACTCTAGAGTCAGTGGCTGGTCACTCTTTGTCCTGTGGCATGTCCCACAATTCTTCTACATTCCTAGGATGCTTTTTGTAGAATTGGAATCATTTCTAGGCCCAGTAAGAGTGCATCAAGTTATGACTAAACCTCTTACAAAAACCACTTGTGAATGCCACTTATCCAAGGACCAAACTTTCATCTTTTTTTTTTTTTTTTTTGCTCACAAAACCTGCTGGGCCTTGTAGTTCTGCCAGAGCCACCAAGTACCTAAGTCCATCGTAAACTAAGATTTTGTTAAAAATGGTTATTTATTAAAACCCTTTCAACAAAAAGTGTATCTGTTCAAGCTGTTCATTGATCTCAATAATAAGATTTTTAACATTTGAAAGAAATTGACAGTATATGTTAATGATATTTTGTACATTTATTACAATGATTGTTAAGTATTCTCCTCAAAATGGTTACATGTACATTTTAGTCACTTTCCAATTACTGGATGTTCTCAATTAAAAAAACAAAAACAAAAAAAACATACACAGAAGGCATGTGCTTTTTGTCGAATTATACTGTAAATCTGAAAGGAAAACCGTTGAATAGTTTATTAAATTTCCCCTATACAAAGTAAGAATGGTTTGTTTTTGTGTATGTTGCTTCTTATATTGGTGGTGCACGGAAATGAAAATTCTGGTGCCGAAACTGAAAATTCAAAATACACTTGGCCGAAAACCGAAATGCGCAGTTTTTAAAAATATGAATGTATATTTTTTGGAAAAAAATACAC